TAGTATGGTTAGTTACAGTATGATAAAATAATTAAAAATAGCTTAAAGTTGGTTCTCTAGTTTCAGGTAATTCAAAACAGTACTTCAAGCAAGTTGATAAGTACACATGATTTGGTGAAATTTGTTGCATTTGATAGTCAAGCAAACCAAACGCTTGACCAACTACAGGAGTAGAGGAAGGAAAAAAAAAACCCATAAAATTTGAGGACAAATTAATCCAGTGCCTCCAGGATTGGCAATACGGACAGTGTGAAATATTTAAAAATTATGACAATAACACAAAATAATCAAGATACATTCAGCTGTTAATTGCTTTTGCTTAGCCACTCAAGACAATCCATGCCAAATGACTTTCACAATTAGATTAACAGAAGGAAATCATAAAAATGTAATTATACATTTTGATATATTAACGTATTACTTATGAGTTGATTAAAGTTTGAAATAAATTCTCCCATCCACCCTATCTCACTTGTCCGAAAAATAAAGATATTTGAAATCAACATTTTTAACAATCTACTTACAGGAAACTGATGTCATTACAAAGCAACAGCTAATATTAAAAAGCTTATATACCTAAAAAATTAGTTCAATCAATTCTAGGCCCAAGAAATCCTAAAATGTCTCAATCATAACCAGAAGGTTATAACGTGATGCCATTCCAAAGCACAATTACTCTTCCTTGGAGGGTACTCTCATCATGTCTTCCTACACTTTGATACACATTTAGATTTTATTTTTTGTAAAAGTTTGATCTTATCGCAATTTCTTGGCCCTGTTTTGTCTTGGAATAATTACAAGATCCCAGTAAACTATTTTGTCCTAAATGATTGATAGGAAAAAGTGAATTTAATGATTAGAAGTACACTTTCTTTTTTTTTCCTTTAAGGAAAAACTATCAGGAAAAAACCACTGACCAGCTAGCTTGCCCACTTCCAAAGAGTTCTAAACCAGGAAGTTACTTTTACATTTGGTATAAACAATTTTATCTGTAAATTTAAAGAACAACAAAGATAAATGCTTTAAGAGCAAGCATTGTGCTGAGATTTGAACTGGTACAAGTGAAACCTAAAGTTTGCACAAGGCAGTAAAATTCTGGTTTTATTTTCTTTTCAAGATATTTTCTTTGAACCCGCAGGATTAAATCTCAATCCCAATCCCACACATGTGGATCTGGAATTTCAAAAACAAAGGCTACTCTCTACTATCAGTGACCACCACTCTTAGTTCTAGAGGAAGCAGGCCTCGTCGAGAAGAGATCAGGCGGACAGATAGCAGCAGTGTCCTGGTAAGGTGAAAAGGACCCATCAGCATTTAAAAACAAACAACCCTGAGCTATTTAAGTCTGCTGTGTGGTCCTTCTTTGCTCGGTAGGAATGTACAGGGCAGGCTACGGTTCTCAAGGACCGCACTGTCTGCCAAGTAAATGGCACAGGGAGCAGTCAGACAAGCACATCGCTGCAGGAACAGTGAGCAGCTGTGTGAGCTTGACTTAACTAAATGGCACAGGGAGCAGTCAGACAAGCACATCTTGCTTGGAACTGCTGCAGGAACAATGAGCAGCTGTGTGAGCTTGACTTAAAATCTCTTGTGAAGCGAAATGAGAACTCTTCTCCACAGGTAGCTGGCTGGGTTCTGAGATTCACATCCCCACAAAGGGAAAGGCACTGTTTGCTGTTCTTACCTGTCATCAAAAACAAGTTTTGCTCTTCTTGACTTGGAACTTTCCGTAGACTGAGCAGACGCAGGAGGGCAGTTTGATGAATTGTTCAGAATCTTTTCCTGAAAGAATTGTTGGCAAACCATAATTTAAAGAACAGTTAAGTCTTCTCTGCCTTCAAGAAATGCATTTGTTGTATAAATTTCTCCCATGACTTCACGCATTATATGCAATAAGGTCAGTTCTGCACCTGCTTTAGCTGCCGTTTGCCATAGACGGTAACACAGCTTCAAGGAGGCTTTCACTTAATGCTGGCACAGAGGTAGACACAGAGGCTATAATCCAGCTCCTCACCCTAATACACCAGGAGATCTCCATTAGAGGAAAGAATGCAGCCGAGGCTTTCTAGACACACCTGGGTCCAGGAAATCCCTCCCTAAATCTCCCATGTCACTGTTTATAAGTCCTGTTTTTTCCACTCTTAACAAAGAGATGATGAATATTTTTATGATTTCTCATTTCTATCAACAATAAACTCTGCTGAATGTCTTTGCCTTGAAAAAAAAAAAGTATTTTGGAAGGATAAGCATAATCTTCAGGGAGAAAAGTCAGCTGTCTTCACAACACACTCTCCTTGCTCCCTTAAATTATACACGGCTCAACATGATACTTCAGACTAAAAATCGGACACTAGAAACATTCTGTGAATAGCAAGTGAATCCATTTTTAGTGGCTGAACAGTATAAAACAACTCTCCCAGCTTCATATGTGTTTCCTGCTCTCTTGATTTATCGTGACCAAAGGCCATCTATATATAGCTGTATTTCATAACCTACATTTATCAGATTATTGCTAACCAGAAGGATCCTGGAGTTGCAAGGCACCAGATTTGCACAGCAATGTACCATCTACCACTGTAACGTAGAAACAATGACAAAACATGCAGCGCAATGCAGGAAGAGTATATACTGCTTTAAGAAAGGCATGAGTAAGCATATCTGAAGTATAAAACGATAACCATCTAACAAATTAACAACTGGCTTAGGGACATTTCTATGTTGACGAATAAAGAAAGGGCAAAGCCTCAGCCTGTAAGGTAAATGCACTATCTACAGTTCCTGGAAGTGTCTTACGCAGCCACCAATATACGTAACCCTGCCAGGCTTCTAAAATCTCATGGTATTGGCATCTGAAGTAATACAGCATGCCTCCCAGTTCAGATATTCATTAACTCCACCCTGATGACTAAGTTACTGTCTGCCATTGCTCATGTCTATTTGCTGCTCTACTCCTCCCCAAATCAATTATCCTTCCTGAACATTTTTAGATTTTGT